TCTTTCCTAAGATTCCTCAGACTGAATGGACAACTGAAAGCCACTCATTCAGTGAGGTGGTAGCCTGGAAGGAAGGAGCCAGGATCTAGATCTAGCTGTGAAAAATAATTACCCAAGACCAGGGAACCTGCTGTTTGCATGCGTGTTTAGCCCTTAAAAAGTTATTACACTCATACTGGTTGTCACTAGATAATACAATGTTCCCAGTGTGCGAGGGTATTATATTAGAAACCCATGGGGCTTCCATTATCGATAGCCTTAAAAAAGAGACCACAGGTAGGGCAGGAAGCACAGCTCCTTTGTGGGACAGCAGGCACCAACATAAAAAGGTCTCATCTCCTGTTAGGCTTTTATAGATACCTATTTTATGGGCTTATACATATGGTCATGATGCTTGAAATACACTCTTTCTCATTGACGATATTACCTTATTGTGTTCATTCCTCTTTGATTATTCTTTGAATTTCTTTTTATCTACTTCAACCAAATGAAACATTAAGGAAACCCCCTTCTTTCCAAAGAAAACAATTGCACCCAACTTTGTTCGTCATGAGTAATTTTGGGTAAGGTTCTAATTTTTCAAGTACTCATGTATTTAATTAGGTTTATGAAGAATATTACTGAGGTTATCGTGACTATTTACACATGCAAAAGAAAATGTATGGGTGCACAGTTACAGAGTTGGGAACGGTTTTATTTGAGTCTGTATTGTGTACTAAGAGTGGCTGCTGATAATTTTAGTTTAAAAAATCTTACAGTACACTAATGAAAACAAATTGAAAGTGCTTGTAAGATTAGAAATGCACAATATCATATCATAGCTGAGTGCCGGATAAAGAACTGATAGAGTCAAGAAATAGGAAAAAGGGATGAAACAAGAAACCAAACAAAAGCAATTACTGTGAATTAAGTACCCTCTAGGGAGAAAAGGATTTTTCAACCTAGTCAGTACAGGCATAGGTCAGACAAACTCTGGGAAAAATATCTGGGAAAAATCTGAAGATTTTTCAATAAATGGAAATAAAATAAGAATATGTATTAAAAAATTCTATAATAAATATTTTGCTTTCTACACTTTAGTTAGAGAAAACCCATATTTAAAGGTAGTGACAATTTACTCTGCCTCATGTTTTTTTCTTATGTCTGCATTCCTTTTAGAATGTTATGCTCAGTATTTTTTAAATTACATAAAAAAAAAAATACTCGTGCATCTGATCGTTTATAAAATGTATAATTGTGAGCTTGCACAATTTTTTTGTGTGAGTGGGATACTGATTTCATACTGTTTCTCAACATGCTTTAAAGACTTCCTGAAACAAGAGAGAATGAAGAGCATGAATCAGACAACTAAAATAGCTGCTATTCATTTTCCTCTGTGAACAACTCTTTCTGCTGTAAATATTTGTTAAAAAATGACACCACGTCATTAAAAGATATCACATTTGTAAAGGGAGTAATAGACTGCTGGAGTAAAATTAGTGGCACAAAAAAAAAAGGAAATATGAAAGTTGTGTTCATGCCACTTGGCCAGAGCAGAATAATAACATTAAAAAAAAAAAAAAAAAAATTTCAACAATTTGGCTGGCTGTAGTATTTTCTGAAATACTGGTTGAACAAAAGAAAGTAAAACTTCAGCGTTAAAAAAGAAAGCAAAGAGACTTTACATGTAAAGTTTGTTTTCCAGAAGTACAACTCTGAGACCAAAGCTATCCATCCATCTCATGTTATACCTGGCACCCAGTTCTTTCGTTTGATAATTTTTTTCTGCCAGACTTATCCACTTCTTCAGTATATTGTTAAATATTGAATTAAAGCATAACTGAATCTTTTGCCTATCAGTTAATTTCCCATGGTGCAAGCTACTATGGACTCGTCTCTGGGGCACGAGTCCACGTGCAGGAATTATAAGGCGTTCCACAGCATGAGTAACCAAGTGACCTGTAACAACACATATGTTGCTCCCACATGTTTCCGAAATACTTTGTCCAGCTGTCTCAATGCACACATTATGCTGGGAGACAGCTGGCCAGCCTTCTGAGAAGCAAGCTGAGACACATAGCTGCTCCCTTCTGACCCTTTATATACATTGTGCTACCCTGAAAAACACACCTTGGCACTCAGCTTGTCATTAAGTGAAGTCCCGGCTGGATAAGCTTTTCTTCCCATTCAGAGGGAACAGCAGAGGGAATTCTTGTGTTTAAATACTGTTAGCTGCGTGGCAGAATGGACCGGAAAACATTTGCTGTTCAGAAAAAGATGAACTCTATTGCCACTGTGAATGTCAGCAAAAAAAACTGAGTAACTAAGAATTGATCTGGTGATACAATTTTGTTTTCTGGTCTAAAACATGGAAACTAAACCCCTTAAATTCTGTTTTCATCTCTACCACTCATTTAAGCTTGACAATTGGCCCAGTCATGTAACTCAAATTACCTTTGTTTGAAACATCAAATAAACTGTGAAAACTGATGTTACTCACCTTTGTGGGATGTTGTAAGAACTCTTTTTCTGGACTTAATTTAAATAGGGACCATTCCAGAATACTAATTCTGTTAACGTGTATAGCATGTCTGTGTTGTAGAGAAGGAGAAGGCATCATTCACCTTTTCTCAGAACAAAATGATTAGAGGCTTTCCTGAATTCATGATCAGTTTGTAAGTGAGTAGGTCAGCCTGCAATTGTTTTTATTCAGGATCAACCAGGTCCCCTCAGCTTTGAATCTTTCCCCTCTTCTACAGCACCAAGTGCCTTCAGTGTCAATTCCTCTCACACGCATGACTATTCCACTTATCGTTTCCCATTTGTTTAAACATAACATCTTTAAACCATTTATTCTGTTCATTGATGACAATATTGAATACATTTTTGTTGGCTTCACTTTATATCTTGCCATTTTTGCCATGTGAAGTAGCCTGCCTAAAGTAATCTCTAAAGCATGTGCTAAGGACTGTATTTACATTCTGTCACCAATGCTCTGGAGAGAATATAAAATATAGTGCTAGAGATTCAAATTTCAAGGGTGATAACATACAGTATTCAGTGTTATTGCCCTATAATTTACTCCAGATAGGCAAGAAGATATTGTTAGTCTTTTATACATGGCTTAACTGCTGACATAATATGTCTCATATACATATCTCACAAAATAATAGTTGGATAAAATGAGCAATTATAGAAATAAATAACATCATAATCATACATCAAACAAGGACTGTCTACAGCAGACTCAAAATACCACTGACTATTCCTATGTTTATATTTATATATGGGATAGTTTACTGTATTACTTTTTCAAATTGGAAAGTATTTGATACAAAATACGAAAAGCTCTCTGCAAAAAGTTGAATCAACACAGAGGTAAAATAATTCATTAAGGTAAAGCATTTCAGGATTTTGCTGAGGGTGCAACTCTTTAAGTAGCTCAGCTCATCTAACCAGTACGTAATATTCAGCCACATGCTGCGACTTCAAGTGTATTATTAACTTTCTACCCTTTCATTGTACCACTGACTTGCTTCGTGAAAAGATGCACATCTGCATATTCTAATTACAGTCAAGTACAAAGCTTACTGAAATCATTGAGAGCCTTCCGATTGATTTCTACTGATGCTGGATCAGGCCCATCTGTGGCTGGATTTATTTTCTAGATGGATTTTAGAAATGTACTAAATGTATAAAATCAATGTTTTCTTTGATATAAAGGGCTATAATTAAAATTTGAGGATGGTAACAGTCTACAGTGGATTTCCCATAGGAGCTGAAGTATATTATCCCCTGTAGGCTGCAGGTGCTGCCCATTCGGGGAAAAAAAAAAAAAGAAAACCAGATAAATTTCCCACCTGTTTCCATAATATCAAAATCCAGATGCTCGTAACATTTTAAAACTTGCTTTTAGCAGTCTTCCTTTTTCTTTGAAGTTTGTTTGAAAGCCTTTGTGAGGTTATATTTCTGAATTTGGTTAAAAGAACATGAAAGCTAAAATGGATCAGAGCAGAGAAATAGAATAGCTGTGCTGATGTAAGGAACATATGTCTCTAAAAGAAATCTAAGTGCTGTATTCACCACGTAGTAAATACAAATATATATATATATTTAATTTTGTATTTTGGTAAGCATAATTTCATTATGACTTCTGGCTATGGGACTGTAATCCAGAAACACCCTGGAATATGGTTGTTCATTCAGGCTATATTGTTGGTAGCAGTGAACCCGATAACATATCCTGGGGTTTAAGATGGTAAATGATGATTTCAAAACACTTCACAGGTCAAGTCACAGCTATTGTGCCATTTAAGTAACATGTGCACACATTGCTTATTTTAGCTGAACTTAGAAAGAGTTAGATGTCCTTGATTTAATTTTCTTATTAAGTTTCACTTCCACTTCAAATTTCTGAAGATGACAGAAACTGGATAATGACACATATGGATAACTAAAATTCTGAAGTAAACCTCAAATTCAAAATCAAGGAGGCAAAAAAAAGGAACAAATGGGCAGGCTCGAAACACATTTATTTTCCATATATTGTTGTATTATGGGAGAGCATTTTTGTTATCAAAATTATCGTATCATAGAATCAAGAAGATTTTTACACTATAATAACACATGGGACTTTAAAGCAACTAACTATGCAGAGCGTGCCTGGGCAGTGGCCAACATGAACCGAGCAATAATTTCTAGCCTTGGTATGAAAAAAATTAAGAGCAAAGAACAGTACAGAAGGCAGATCACTTCATATTAGAGGCTTCTACAGATGGAGAACAGGAAAGGCTGTTTGCTAGTCTCTCATGTGTTTAAGGTTACTGCATTAACCCTAGAGTGTTGGACACATTTTTACTAAGAACTGAAGGAACAAAACCTGTTAACAAAGCTAAAATAGCTGGTCAGGGCAGGCCCTGGCATTAGGAGTGGTGAGAGGAGTGATAAGGAGTGGTTAACAGGAGCAGGGCAGCTTAAATTGGGTCTCCTATCTGCAAAGATTTGACAGCTCCAAAGTGTGAGTGAGGTATTATCATAGGAAGGGGGAAGGAACCAGCTGTCTTAGCAGTTGCCTCATCAAAGAAGACTGTGAAATGGCATTAGTGATGCGTGAGAATTAGGTATTATATGTTGCTCTGTTTGTGGCTTTGTTATGTTGTTGGGTTTTTTTTGCCTTTTCTTCCTTTTATTCTGTTAAAAATTGTTTATAAAGCCAATAGACTTAAATGGAGAAAATCAGCTCACTAGGAAGAGAATATATATTAAATTTTTTCTAGGTTTCTGGAAATTCCAGACAATGCTGTTTTGATACCAGTTTTACATTTTAATACAGACCATGTTTTTACCAGTCAGGAAGTGGTTTTTTTTCTAGTTAAATAAACTAAAAATAACTAATATGAAATCCATGTAGTCTATTACTTTTCCACAATTATTGTAAATTATTATATATAAAAATTATTATTATAAGTTTATTATTATAAAATATGCATTATTTTACCTTTCAAGACAATAACCTATGACTGTGGAGTGAATTGATTTTATTTTTTGTGCAGATCAATGAAATATAGGAATCACCAGTCTTAGCAAAATACAGAATACACCTTGGTTTAACCTGGACTAATTGTTGTAAAGAAAAAGGGTTTATCTTGTTCAATATGACATTATATTTTATATATATGTGTAGTTATAGAGTGGCATAACTATTTCTCTCATTAGTCATTTTCTTCACATTTCTCATATTTTTTTCTTATTCAGTTTTTAAGGACTAAAAATAATACTATTAAATGACAGTCCTCCGAGCAGTTTACCGTATACTTTATCGGTCTTCTACTATTCTCTGAACTTGTTCTTGTTGAAAAATATCCTCCCCAGCCCCTTGTTCCTGGGTGACCCTGAATGACATATGTTAATGTAGATTCATCAATTTATGTAGAGACAATAGAATTTATTCTCTCTGCAGTCTTGACCTAACTCTTTCTAAAACAACTTTACGCGTTGTTTGCTTTTTAACCATAGCTCACACAAAACAGAGGTAGACAGAAATAAATTTATATCCAAATAACTTTTGAATAACAGTGTGACAGGATGTGATGTAGAGTTATTAGCCACCATAGATATTAAATAAAGCACCACAGGTATTAGATACTGCCATAAAGGTCTTATGTCTTTACAAAACGTAAAACCCAGATCACAGGAAGCATTACTGCTGCCTTAAAGTGGGAGATATCCTTTAACATTAATCTTTGTGACAATACTGCACTAGCAGTAGCAAATAGATTAACTATCAAATAGACTAAAATAAATCCTTCTAAAGAAAGAATATATGCAGTAAATTAAACTTTATATTCTCCTTATAGACCACGCACAGGATTATTATAACTTTCTTAAAAGTAAACAAGAATGTCTGTCATTGTCATTTTAACACACACTGAATGACACTGTAAGTTTTAAATACAAAGATTTTTCTAACAATAGTGAAAAAGATTTAAGTAATTAAAGAAAAAAATATTACATTTTTTAAATTTCCCAGAAAACAAAACAAAACAAACAAACAAACAAAAACACCCCCAAACCAACAAAAACCAGACCATGAAACAAGTGCACTTAATAAAATTTTAAGTTTTTTAAGTTTCTTCCACTGCTGTGGAAGAAATATATTTTATGAACAGACTCTGAGTGTCTTCAATGAAGTGTAGTGCTTAATTATGGTGGAAGATTGTTTCTCAGAAAAATTATCTCAACTCTAGCAATTGTGGTCAGAGATATTATTTTGGAAAGGTCGGAATACTAGAGTAACTGGAAAGAATGTCACTAAAATGTTGAAATGTGAACATTAGCTGTACCACAGGGAGAACCGCAGAAATAAGACAAAAACAAGACCCATCAGATGAGTCAGTGCACACCTCAGTCAGGATGTATTATTTCTAATGATAACATTTGTTATATTTTTTCCCAGTCAGTGATGAATGACCAAAACACCTGGGGCACTACTACTTGTACCTTTTATACAGCCCAAAACACTGTCACAAATTTCACCTTTTATCTTACCTTTTACATTTTTCAGTTCATAGTTTAATCTTTTAGTCCAAGCTACCAACTGGGCTATGACTCTTAGTGTTTCCACCCGCCAGTCATGTTCTAGCTTTATCTTCTCTTCATTTAGCTCATATTTTTTCCTCTATCATTATAGCTATAGCCAACCAGAATTTGTTATCAGGATCAGTTACATCAAAGCTTCATGCTCTCTGTAATAAGGAAACAATTTTTTTTTAAAAAAAAAGGAAAATAAAAAAGAATGTCCTAGCATCCTTAAAGAATGTCTTAACATTCTCTCTGGCAAGTCTACCCTGTTGTTCAGAACATTGAAATTAGGGACTTAAATTATTGCAATGCTGCTAAGCATGGCTATTTCATAATCTCACTAGTTCCATCAGTTAGATATATACTAGGTATACCTCATCCCTGGAGATGTTCAAGGCCAGGCTGGCTTTGAGCAACCTGGTCCAGGGGTAGGTGGCCCTGCCCATGGCAGGGGGGTTGAAACTCAATGATCTTTAAGGTCCCTTCCAACTCTAACCATCCTATGATTCTATGTACATTCTCTCATCAACAAAAATTAATTTTTGTGGTATTGTGGTAACATAGTGTTCTTCATGTCTAGCAGTTACACTTATTGCATTTAAGAAATAAAGCCAAGTATGGATTGCAAAATCTGAAGTACAGAGTTACACCTAAAATTAGTATTCAAACATTAGAAAGTCCTTTCTTGATGAGTGATTAAAGAACAGATTCCTGAAGTGAAATTTAACAAAGAATTGCTTGAGTTCAAAATGGAAGAGTGTAACATTTCATTGGTCTGGACAACAACATATAATATTCATAGTTTTCAAACTCAATATGGTTCTCTAACTCAATACAGATGCTTGTAACAAGTCACTCAGTGTCTGAGTAACACAATTAACATTTTGCTGGTTAGCTAAAAATCTTAATAATTGCTTCACTTATTCATCATTGGCTGATGAATACAAAAAATGTTCCTAAATTAAACCTGACCTTTCCTTTCTAGTCATCCGTTATTTGTATCGCATAGCCAAGTGTATCACAAATATGCCTTTCATTTTGTATATAAGGGTGCAAAGTTAAGCTATAAGATTCTCATTAAGAATGTTTATTTCTTTAAATATGCATTAACTGATGAAGTGTCACACACATTAGTTTTGTAGCATATGCTGCAGTGACTGAGAAAACACTTAAGTCTATCACTTCTCAGAAAATCAGAAACAGAAAGACTCAGATCCCCTAGATTCCATCTGTGTTGGGACTTAAACAGAATGAAAGTGCTGAAAACATAATGTACACTTTGCACTTCTAGTGGTACCTAAGGGCTAGTACTCTCATTTTGACACAGGATTCTGTTTCTCCCTGACAAAGGCAAAACCACTGTGTGGGACAAGTCTTAGGTGTGGTTCCAGTTACTAATTCCTTGGCAGACTGGGTTCCTGGAGCAGTAAACAAGACCTGGACCCCCCTCCTCCCAGTGGGGAGCCATAGAAATGGTCTTTTCTCTGCTTGCTCTTTCTCTGTCCACAACAGTATTGGCTTCCCAACAATGGCCAATGATATTGATCAGCAGCTGGCATTTTCACAGCTGGACCAGAACAACTGCCTGGGGATGTGGGTAGGAATTGTACCTTTCCAGCTTCTCAAACTGCAACAATATAGAAAAAATCTTCATAGTTCCAGAACGCATATGTTGGCACTACCATCTGCAGCTGATCTGGAAATACCTCTGTTCACAGTTAAGAAAAAGCCTCAGAGTAATTCTGAATTATGAAGGTAATCCAAGTTATAAAGAGGATAAACCCAGATCTGTTACCTTTTTTTTTTTTTTTTTTAATTGTCTAATAATAACTGAGTCGTTATTCAGCTGAAATCTTACTGAGAACCTTCAACTCAGAAAGTAGCCTAGAAACAGAAATAAGACTCTTAAATCACTCTTCACAGCCAACAGACAGAAGGGACATCCATATCGAATAAATTTTATGCCTGGATTAATCTAGCGGAGATGAGATAATTATTCTGGATATCTAAAATAGGCTACCTGAATCCGAGTTTTTTTCTTTATTAAATAGGTATCTCCAATGTATCTTACTAATGTCCTTATAAAATGAATCTCTGAATTTTCAGACTACATAAGAGTAGGATTTTAATCTCATATCCTTACTGATAAATTGCGTCTCAATATGTGTGCTTTTAATGTATTGTGGGAATATGGGAGAAAAGTTCTTGACAGCAATACTACGCATTACAGTTCAGGAGAGAACTGAAGAAAGATCTCCTTTAATGAGTCCACAGATACAGAAATAGCGTGGAATATTACCCCATCTGAATTACCCAAACAGATTTAAATTGCCCAATGTAAAACTTGTCCAGAAGCCAAGTTTAACATCTCGTGTACTATTGCAAGCAGTGTAATGAGATTTCTTAATGATCAAAGGTGCCTGACTTTGTTTTAATGACTTATTCATAGTATGTCATGCCCCAACACCATTGTATGTCACAGACGCAGTATCACTTCACAAAGAAGTCTTCAACTACTAAATTGCTCATGCTACTTCCTCATCATTTAGAGATTCTTTCCAGAAATACACCAGCCTAAGAAATATTTAGCTTGAAATTATATGATTAAGATAAATGATCTATTTAGAAACCTCATGTCTCATCATATGAGAATTCACATTACCTACTCCACTCATATACAGTGGTGCAGACTAGTTACATACAGTAAATATATACATATACATATACATATGTATGCATATGTATCAGCAGAAGATATTCCACAGGAGCTCCCCTCCACCCTTCAACTATTGTCCCATAATTACCTCTTCCGTATCAGGTGCTTCTGCATTAATAGGAAGTTATGACTTGCATTTCTGTAATTATGCAGGGTAAGGAAGCCAAACTTACATTTAAAAGGAACTCTATCAGACATGTCATGTTTGCATGTGAATGGTAACCTGACATTTTTCCTTTAAAGGAAGTCAGATAACTCACATGATTGGACAGACCTACAAGTTTTGATAATATAGTGAATAATTTCCAGTATGAGGTGTCAGCG